GATAACTTGCTGGCATCTTGCGGTTCCATTTCAGAAGACAGGAGATGCCTTATAATATATTCTACATTATGAAAGTTGTGTGATCCAACACTTGTACTTACAGTGCTTGCCTTTTGCCTGCAGTCAAAGATTCACACACTTTATATGTTACCGAATCTGCTTTTGTGAACGAATACTTTTTGCGAAAGACGAACTTGTTTATTCAAAATACATTCCTGATTATATTTCTTTCATTCTCTCTCTCGCTCTCTTTCTCTCTCTCTCTTTCTCCCTCTCTCTCTATTCTGATAGAAGCGAATATAGGAAAGCTAGTCTGAGCTGTCGATTAAACTAGGGATGTCGCGAACCACCCCAGGTTCGATTTCAAAAGGTTTCGATATTTTCTAATAGCCTCGTCCCACTAGAGCGACAAACACCGATTTTTGTCCGACGACACCACAAAGTTCCGTGTCGCCGATGCTGTCCCACTACAACGACCAATACCCGCGACATTCGCCGACACGCGCCGACAAACGATCGACGACGGACGAGTAATTGTCTGTCGTTGGAGTTGAAACGCAGCAAGCAGTCCCACTGAGGAACATGTCTCGGAGACAAACGTATCCTCCTCGCCCGGTTGTGCCTTTTGTTGCCTCCCTTCCCACCCTTCTACCCTTCCTCCCGTTCCTCCCGTGGCTCGCTTCGCCGCTCGACCTTCAGAGAAGCCCTTGGCGGCCACTCCTCGTTCCCGCAGTTCCGGTCCCTCGATTGCTCGTAGTGGTCGCGGGCGCGGCTTGCTCGCTTGCGCCGGGCGGTCGGGTTGCGAAAGGGAATTTGCTGTGGTTGGTTTTGCTCGCGAAAACTTGGTGCGTGAGGTGGTGCTTCAAGACGCCGAGGTCTACGGCCCTGCATCAGGATGGATACCCACTCATGTTCGAGGACTAACCAAAGTAAGACCTCTCAACACGAAGTAGGACACGACGTTCCGCGGCAAGCCATTCATGCAGACGAGAGACTTGTCATCACGTTCTGTGATAATCGGGACGCCTTATTGTCCTCCAAAAAAACGCCTTCCCTTGATCATTCGGATACGAGGTTATAAACATCCTCGAAATCGGCGTGAAGTTCCGTGGCGCTCACCTAGAATTCCTCGAACGACTCAAAAAAGGAACGATTCGGGTATTCTAACTCGGAAAAAGCTTGGTGTCGATTGTCACGACTGTTTGCGGAAGGTCGCCAACGGCAAATGAAGACAAGTGAATGCTTTAATCAAGAAATAAAGTAATCGTTTCCTCTTACACCGTGTTTGTCGGCGCGTTTTATGCCCAAAGAGCAAAACACGAAAACCGCGTCGCCAGACTCAGTTTGTCTGTGCATTTCGAAGTGTTTTGTTGACAACTCCAGTCCCACTAGGAAACAAGTTTCCTTGTCCCTGTGTTCTGCGTCGTGTCCGCCAAGTGGGACGGCGGACTTCGACAAACAGGCCGTCTGTCGGTGTCGTCTGTCGCTCGTTGTCGTGTGTCGCTGTCGTTTGTCGCTGTCTGTCGCTCTAGTGGGACGCGGCTATAAGCGAACTGAGGTTCGAATAAAAAAAATTCGATACTTTCGTACCGACTGAGGTTCGAATTCGAAACATTCGCAACTTTCGATCACAGTGGAGTTTCGAACTCGAAAAGTTCGAAGCTTTCACGGTTTCTAAAATCTCGGGTCCGAATATTTCGAATTTCTTTTTTACTTGAGGTTCGATGAATTCGAAGATTCCGAACTTTTATAACTTGAAATCTGAGATAATCGAAAATTTCGAATTTTCTGGGATCTGAAATCGAAAAATTTGAAGATTTCGAAATTATTTTAATATAAAATTCGAAAAATTCGAACGCTTCGAATTTTTATAGATGAAAAGTTCAAAAAATCGAAGATTTTGAACTTCTTTCTACATAAAGTTCGAAAAGTTCGAAGGTTTCGATTCTCTTTTAAAGCTAAATTCGAGAAAGAAAACTTCGAAGATTTCGAATTTTTTTTAGGTCCAAGTTTTTAAAATTCGAAGTCCGCTTTTCATGTTCTTCTACAGGTTCAGTTTCAAATAACGTTTTCACGACTCACTGGTTTTCAGGAAATTAGGTTTAGAAAAGTTAGGGTGTGATATTTAGACTCCGCGAAGTTGGGTCAGGCAATTAAAAGAGACGACTAGTGTCCCGGATGTGCTGGAATATTTGGCTGTGCAGAGTGACGTGTGACCATAGATCAGTAATTGTGACTGCCAGCCCGGGGGGAGGGGGAGGTATTTAATGTGCATCACACAGTAGTGATCACACAAACGCACTGTTTTACGATACTCATCCAGTTCGAAACGGCCAGGGGTGGGCAGGAGGTTGAGACTCAGAAAAACCTTAAAGCGATCTGGCAAACTACCTTCCTACCCCTTGCACGCTGGTAGTAATCCGATCGAACGCCGCCCGAGTGACGCTGGCATATAGTAAATTAAATTTTTAATTGCCCTGGAGGTTTATTTTCCGGGACGGAGGAAACGCCTCGCAAAAAGCACGCAAGCCGAAGCGACACAACTCGTTGTCGAGGAGCGTTCTACCACACAAGCGGCGTCGGAAGAAGAAAAGGGGGGGGGGGGGGGGGGGGGGCTTCAACCCCCCCCTTTTTTTTTTCCAGATATTTCGGACTGTTAAAGAAAGCAACACAGGGAAAGCGGGCGTGGTCGAGCTTATTTGAATCTGAAATTATTTATGCATATGTATAGCTACTGTCGCTCTTCACTGCATAAAAGATCGCGTAGATGGTGATTGTCGGATACCCGTTGTCAGAAGGCACTACTTGTCACATGCTTAGTGGTTCCGAAGGTCACAGCTATTTCTTTTCGACCTAAATAACTGTACCTGTGATAAAAAAAAAAATAAACATAATGATAAATGCTGGAATAAAAAGCTGGAGAAAAAAAACTATCAAGAATTCGCCGGAAGTGTTGTATTCTTGCACATTGTGAGGCTCAGAACTTCGAGACAAGTTTCTCCTACCGAAATGTGTACAGGCTAAAGGAAACACGTCCCAAGAACGTGAAGCAAAAAAAAACAAATGTTTATTTTTTAATGACGTGCTGAACTTGACCAATAGTAGATATCTTCTCACATGATTTAATTTATTCCTTAACGTGAAAAAACAATAAATACATTATTTTGTATTCTGCAGATGGCAATGTACTGTCTGTAGTGTTAATTTAAATGCGATACCTCAAACAACTTAGACGAAAAAATTACCAAATTTAGGGCATAATTATTCGTAGATACCTGTTTGGAAATTTCTTCGAAACTTACCTTTGAATAAAAATAATCTCATCTTAAAACGACACTTACCTAGGATATCCATAGACCATTCTCAAAAAGTTTAACATCTCTCCCATAAATACCTTCGGCTATACCGCGCTTCAAATATGGCACAAACGACAACCGTCAAAAAAACCGTCGTCCTTCTTCGCCCCTTTGGGAATTTATTTCTTTAAAACTATGCATGCCAGAACATTGAAATAAACGGCATTGTCTTTCACAAAGAACGCTGCACCGCATAAAAAAGTTCGAGAAAAAACATTTACGAATGTACCTCACTACCTGAATTCAAATGAAGCCGTCCGCCGGCCTTTCGAAGTTCGACGAACGTCGAACTTTTGCCCTGAAAGTTCGAAGTTCGTCAAACTTTTGACATTTCAGGATTCGCAAGTTCGAAACTTTTCGAATTTTCTTGATAAATAAGTTCGAAAGGTCGAAAATTATTGAATTCATTAGCGTAGAAAATTCGGAACGTCGAAAAGCTTCGAATTTTGCAGCGTAATAAGTTTGAAAGTCCGAAAAGGATCGAATTGTTTTGCGTCATAAGTTTGACGGTTCGAAAAGCGTCGAACTTCTTAGTTTAACAAGATCGAAAATTCGACTTCCGTCAAATTTTACAATATAGAAAGATCGAAAAAACTAAATCTTTTGAACCTTTCAAACCGCTTGATTCGATAGTCGAAACTTCGGTTCGAAAAAAGTTCGCGGCATCCCTAGATGAAACGTCGTTCGATGAATGAATGGCGACTGTCGATGGAAGTTTCGTGGAAATAATTCTGCCGGCTGCTTGGAGAATAGACACTACCTAAGACTCACCCCCGGTTCTTGTTTGCTTACTAATCTTCTCAGTTGTGTAACAGCTTCTTCGTACCTCTTCACATATTACGGATTGCTTGCAAGTTTGTACCTGTTTAGTGAATATGCTGTCTAATAAACTTCGATGAGATTTGAAAACAATCCCGTGTGTCCGTTTACCTGCCTTTTTGCAATCACCGGGGCGCATACATTTTTTAAAGGTTTCCTTGATGTCTTAAATTGGTTTATGGAGTTAGTTATGAAGCGGGTGTATAAAGTGGTGTGACCATGCACCTTTGAATCGGGTGCATCTGTGTTCTCTTCCAATTCAGTAGGTGTAGAAAGGGGAGTAATGGTGCACTATTGAGCGGGGTGCATCTGTGTTCCCTTTGAGTGAGGTGGGTTGATGTAGGGGTGCAATGGTGCACCTTCGAACGGGATGCATCTGTGTCCATTTGTATTTCATTGGGTGTAGAAAGAGGTGTAACCGTACACATTGAATGGGGTGCATCTGCATTCTCTTCGAGTGAGATTTCTGTAGAAAAGGTGTACATGTGCACCACACCAACGGGTGTACACATACTCCCATATTTGGGGTGCACGAGTGTTCCCCCAAAAGGTGTAGTATATGTTACAAGCACTTGCACCCCCTATGGCTGTACCCTATGACACCCTTTTTTTAAAGCGTACGTGTAAATAAATAAATATATTTCAAATACGAATCTTAACAAAATTCAAAGAATTAATAAATAAAATGTATTCACACAATAGGTATTGTTAAAGAACGGAGTGCTGCAATTGGTTTGTGCACCTGACGTCACGATCGAATTCAATATAAATACGAGCGCCTATTCGAAAATATACCATGCGTCTTACGCCTTGCATCATTTAGAAATGGCCGTTCGAATTTCGACTCTTCTGTGCTTTATGGCTGCAGCCATAATTCAACTTCCTGAAGCGCATTCAAGAACAACTCAACCGACAAGATACGATGCTGCGAGGGTAAGCACTCAGGTTTATTTCCTGGAAACGAAATTATATTTATCTCGAGCTATTAATAGCCATAAAATAAACCTGAGGTCATATAGTTTGTGTAAAATAGTTCAATCTTTCAGATAGTGTAGAATTTAATGAATCTACCAGAGAGTTACGCATTATTGCTAGAAAAATTGTTTGCAATATTTCTCGTGCTTTAAAATACTGCACTTAAAAGTGCCATACTAAAAAAAATTCGGCAATTTTTTCGGAGTGTTTGAAGTATTTATTTAGAAGCGAAAAAGACAGTCGATGTATCACTATAATACTTTTCTTGTAGGTCCTTCAGTAGACAAAATTAAATGAAACTCTCGTGTGTCAAACCATTATGTCGGCGCTGCTTCAGCTAAACTACACACCGGCCGATGCCACATTTGGCTTCCCTTTTGAAATTATCACGACCTTCGTTCTGTTCTCAAAACGCGGAGCCCTTTGCTATTCTTCTTTGTTCTGCTTGACATATTTTCTTTTTGTTTGTTATCGCAGTACGAGCACTGTTTTTCTCAGAAAGCGAGAGTTGAATGACCAAGCGCAGTTTGGACAGTTCGGCATTTTTTTTTTACTTCGATTCCTTTTACTACGTCGTAGAAAACAAAATATTTTCTCGGCATGTTCTTGGGCATACGGAGGATTGGAATATTTTCAGACTTGCCACCTCACCCTTGCATCTCATGACTGTCGTCTCAGATTGGTGAAGCAAAACGTTGTAACAAAACGGAAGTTGGTAAACGCTGCTCACCCAGTGGTGGTATTAGGCGCGTCTCACAACTTCCTGTCTAAAAACCCTGACGATGGAAATACGCTCAGTTGCTTGCTTATACAAAAAAAAAAAAAACGGAAAATACTAGGACAGCTACTTCGAAAATACTTCGGGTGGAAGTGTGCCCCGTACTCTTTATAATACATATTAAATCTTTTTATTGGTCTACGCCTTTCAACGAAATTTTACGGCCGTCATGTTATCATTCGTAGTACCTGAGTCCTACAGTACTTTGCTGGGCCCTGATCTACACAGTGTAACCAAGAGACCGGGCAATCGCCGCCTGCTCCGATTCGTTGGTGGTGTGGCGCTGAAGAACCGGTGATGCCCGGCCCCTTGGTTCCGCCGTATGATTAGGGCCCCTGGCCGTGATACATCTCCGTAACACTACTGAGAGCTTGGTACTCTACAACGCGCGACTCTGGCGTCGGCGAGGGGGCTAAGAACCGCCAATTAGCACCTCTGGGAGTCTTCGCAACCATGTGCTTCGGAATTTCTAACCCCCTCTGAATGAGCTATCCGTAGAACGCCGCGATGCGTCGTCGCACCGAAGGCAGTTCTTGTTAATGCAAGCCTCTTCAGCGTTGTAATCTCAATCAACTGCTGAAACTTCTCTATATACAACAATCTCCAAAATAATATTAGTTCCCTTCCTTTTTCTTTTCTCTAAATGATCGATGTTTTAATACCCCCATCGTACAAAAAAATTCAGTGCAGCGAGCAGCACCATCAAGTAGATGTACTGAGCCCCCTTAAGCTCCATTCCCTGACTATTTTCTCATGCAAAAGCATCGTTTTGTTTGAAAACAAACAAAAAAAAAGCCTATTTTATCAGATCTGTTGTTACATATCAGTAACTATAGTGACCAGTGCTTGCATACAGTGATCAATTACAGAAGTAAAAAACTACAATGTACGTGAAATAATAAAAAAAAAGTTGTAATCGCAAATTTTGAATGTCTTACTCCGAGTTAAGTCGCCTAAACGAAATGGCCCCTCAGAAAGAGTGGCGCCCCTGGCGACAGCTTTGGTCGTAAATCAAACTTGGGCGGAAGTTTCGTGACGAATATCGCTATTAAGGTCGGCATTTAATTGCATTATTAATATATTGAAGGACTTTGATCGTATTGAATATTTGTAATTCATTTTTCTTCCGTGTCATCCCGTGTAATCAATGCAGCAAATGCAATACAGTTTTAAAAATGGAAATTAAGTCGCATGAAATAATTATAACATGGCAACGCCACTACCAGACTTTACCTATCACAGTGCTCTGGCAGGCCTCTAACCTTTAAAACGTTCATTATTTTACGCAAAAGGCTTCACCCTAAGTTAGCTTTCCTGCAGAATAGAAAGGCAGCTAATCACAGCGAACAACAGAAGTGTCCAAGTGACTGACGAAACTCAAAGTGCAATGATACTAAAACGATTCGCTGATATCGAAGACAATTTTTCGTGGAGCGATCTACCCGAAGTCTACCCGAAACGCGTGCCTTTCCTAATTGTATTTGTTCTGTTCTAGGAGCTAAGAGAGCAATTCGATCCTAGATATTATCTGATACAGCGCTCACAGCGCACTGACAGAAAACTGGGAAACGATGCCACATGCGTCTCCGTGTTGGAATTGATTCCAGTTTATGGCGAATTTAGTATACTTGCCAATTTCTCAATACAGCAAAGTTCCGCCATAGATCCCACGTAAGTATAGCCAGCCCTCACATCGTAAACTCGAGTGGTGTATATCTTTTGCTTAAAGAGTCAAGGTTTAACGTTCAATAAAAATATGTCATGTGGCCCCAACCGATTAATTGACGCTCACTTCAAATATATTAGCGTCTTACGTCGGCGGTAGGTTAATTAAGAACCCAGCAACTGCTTCGCGTCTAGCACGCACTTTTCTTCCGCCAGGCTTCGGCTGCGCGTTTGACAAAGTGTTATCCATGGCAGAAATCTCGCGCTCGAGGCGCAGTATCTACAGCGTTCGTAACCTGTCACTGACTGTGCACGTTTCCATTGTTTACAAATCACAGTCCACACGCTTTAAATCACAAACACAGCAATGAACGCGAGTCCTCACACGCTTTTATGGAAATGTGTATTTGCGGTGAGAAGCTCGCGAGGTGCGCTTCTGTTTTCCTCAGTCTGGGGTAGTTAGTGCACGTGCTATACACGCGGTTATTTTTTAAATTTTCATAGAGCATAGAAGCTTGCATTGCTCGTCTTGCACCGCAGAACTTGAACTATAGACCTTTCCTTTGTACTCTCGTCTCCAGCCACCTAATAGGCATACAATAGTAAGGGCGCAAGCGAGCTGGTGGATGTTAACCATGTTGAATATACCTGAGACTGGGTTTTTTCTACCCCAGTCTCAGGTATATTCAACATAGTCACCTAATAGGCGTATCCGGTATGGGCGACGAATAAATAATCCGACGTTTCAACCTGCAAATAGTAAAAAAATAAAGGGGAGGCAAAACAAGAAAGTGTAACGTTTACGCTTATATAGTAAATGCCATCTATTGGCTTGGCAAAGGCAAAAACAATGTTTTCGCCCATACTGGAAGTGACGTCAATTCAAGATGGCGGCGCATTTGCAGAAAAGGTCTTCACGCACTCTGGGTTGTGAAAAGAAAAAAAAAATCCACCAGGCGGCGCTACCCTAACTTCTCGCCGCCAATAGGGAGTATTCAATGGACGCCATATTCGCAGGCGTCGTTCAGAGCTCAGGCTAAGAACGCGATCATATCAATAAGTTGCTAAGACCGGCGATTTTGATGTTGTGGAATGCACGTTGTAAAAGAACTGTGGGAGCTCGCCATCAGCACGCGCTCAGCAGTCGCGCACACAGCTATGGCCGCCAGTGAATACTCCCTGTAGGATGGCAGTTGCGAGATGCTTTTTGGGGGTCGGTTTATACCACGATACCATGATGCTTTCAATGTGGCTCGAACTTTGTTACTGCCTAATAATGGTACGACTGTATAAACCAGGAGTCACTTCAATACTGTAATACCCTTAATGTTCGCGAGTCCTTAATTTTCACAAATATCGCGAAATCAAAATTTCGCGAAATTAAGGGGCTCCCGAAAATTTCGATCCCTAAGACTATCAATGCAGGTGTCTGGAGTTCGCGAAATTTAGTGGCCGCGATTGTGTCCTCTGTAACCGATTCACGAAAGCTGGGGGGCATGAAAATGAAGGGTGTTACAGTGTCTAGAACTGACCTTCTGGTTTCCTTCATCATAAGCCTTGTTAGTATAACTGACGTTTACGACTTCAGAATTAGACATTTCCCATCCGGATGTTTAAATAAAAACTGCTGGAAGCGTCACAAAAGCAATCTAGCCTTTAAATAGATAATATCATCCTGGCACACTTTCTATAAAAATAATGTTAGCTCTCCCGTGAATGACATCTATTTTTTAAATTTATTATCCCAGGGGTACGCGAATTTCCGAACCAAACGAGCCTCCGCACGGTCTTCCTCCTCTGCACGCATAAAGACGGGAACCTAACCTTCCTATTCTAGCTTGAGCAATCATGATGCCTCGTCCGGGAAACGGGCGCGACGTATTCTATCGTTGCTTAAGCAATCACAAAGAGGTAGCTACAGTGAGTTGCGCTTTTTACCCAGCTTGATCGATCACAATGGCTCGTAGTGTTGGCTGCTTCTGGACGTACGCTGAAGCGAAGTATAGGTCGTCCAACATGCTGGAAGGCTACTGTTACCTCGATTCATTGCGGCAGCGGTGTCGTAGCCATAATAATGGATCAGACTGGCATATTGACGGGTTAGCGCCTAGGATCGCGGCTCCTGCCCAGGCTTCGTCCGGACGTTTGCTGTCCAGCGTCAATGCTCATCGCATAAAATTATCGCATCCCGCCAAAACAAAAATGGATACTTGGAAAAAGTTTTCGGGCGTTTCAAACATTAAGCAATTGACTCCCCATTGAACTATCAGGTTCAAATTAAATGCGAACGGTAGAGCGCGTGGCGGTTGGTACATGCTGCGCCTCCTGGAGGCCTCTTGAAACTGATAAAACTGAGGGTTGGAGAGTAGGGCGCTGCGAGGGTGCGCGCCCTACTCCGGTGTGTTTGACCTTCGCCCAGCACAACCCAATCTTCGCCGCTCTACCGGTGATACGCTTGAAGTTCCGTCGCAGCCACTCACACTGGCTCACCATGAGCCACGCGTGGAAACTCGCCACTCGCAGCAGGAGCAGACTGCTTGCGCGCGCGCGTCTGTGGAGCGTTACCGCAGCGTCATGCTCCCTCCCAAGTTGCGCATTTTTTTTTCGTAATATGCGTTGTCATTTTCGTGTGAACAATATAGCAGAAACTGCGCAAAATTCGACAGACGGGATAAAAGGAGTGGATCCTGAACGGCTGCTGATGCCTGAGTGAAGCCAATCACTCGGCAGCCTTTTATATATCAGCTACCAGCGCTCGCCCTGTGTGTCCTAAAGTTCTTGTGCCTCGTGTATGGCGCTGGGGTTGCAAAAATGCAGGTCCACCAGCTCCCGCATTTGCCAAACATTTGAATAAAATTCAATAACTTGATCACTGGCATTTTTCAGGCAGCCAGAATATCGTTCAGCGCGATCATCAAATGATCACTCTGTGCTTCAGAAGTGTGATATAGTAGTTGAAGCAGTTTTTTAGCCTACGGAAAACCTGTGGAGCTTGATTGACGACAGTTAACAGAACCACTCAGACGTCCTCGTGAAGGACCTGGAATGCATGGCTCCTACAAAATAATGAAACACCGTGGACGGGAAATTAGGTGTTAGTTTCCAAGTGGTATGTGTGCAAGAAAAGATAACGAACAATCACAAAAACTGCAGCGCGGTATGGACCAAAACTGTAAATTCAATACCACCGCAAAAAAAAATTACTTTAGCCCAATATTTGGGTTGGTATTTCAGCCATATTACTTGGCGTGGTTTGCAAATTTTCAGGAAATTCGGGGTCTATAAACAGAACGCCGGAGTACCCCTTTAACGGGACAGTGATATATCTTCAAATACAGCCGAGATCACAAGTTTAGCTGAACAAAAAGAAACCTGTTTTATTTGGTGCTCTTAGTTCATTATAATATATTTACACGGCATCTATATAGGCACCTCTAGGATAGGTCCTTTTGGAATTGGCGAATGAGCCCGCTCTCTTGGGTCGCGAGCACATGCCAGGCACGGTGGATCGCGAACTTGTTCGCCGCCGACCACAGATATTTTCCTTATCGTGTGATTGAATTATATGACGGAATTATGTTAATGTATCATATCCTAGCAGATCACCAATTGCTCATGACAGATTTTATGCTTGTTAAAGCACCTAACTCCACGGCTGATGATTAAAATTTGTTGCTTTATACGTGTGTTATGGATACCTACTATAAGATCCGCATATATACACCCCAGGAGGTTATATTGGAAGGCAGTTAACTTCATAATTTAGAGTTGCAAACTGTTCAGCAATTGGCTAAATTTGTGTCAGTGATTTGAACACTTTATTGGTAGTTTGTCCCTGATTAGGACAATTTATTGACAGCTAGAGCATAAAGATCTATTTTTTCATCAAACTTCTTGACTTTCGTAAAACAACGACGTGCATTGTGTTTTTTTAACGCAGTTACATTGGGAAAGACTACGTAGCATTCTTTGCTTTTCTTCTTATCTGCAACATGCAACATATGTCGGGGACTTATAAAAGGTTACTAAAGCTGTTCACGCAATCTCGACGGATAAAACTGCACACAATTGATGCCACTGTCACGAGTAAAGACCCATTCACATGTATGCCTTTGAGCGCGGTGCGTTCCGCATCGGCAAGCGGCTGCAGAACGGTGCGGAGAGTGTTTGCGCCAAGCTTATATAAACACATTCCCGTCTTACATGCAGTTCACCGCAGTCAACAGTCAATAGGAACCCGCTTTCGTTGCTTGCGTCTTACGGAAAGTGAAATCCACATCAACACGACGGTTCCCGGCGACAGCGTCGACGTGACTGTTCATTTGGGATAATCCCGCTGTCATCAGCGATTTTTGTCCTGCTTGAATCGTCGCAACCTCAGAATAACCACCTCCCGCAGTAACCCCCCCCCCCCCCCCCCCCCGCCATACTCACCCCAGCAGGCAAAATCAGTACCCATCTCGAAAAGGGGGAACCGAGCACGTGACCCACGCTTTCTGATATCGGCCTATGATTAACTCGCACAAGAAGATGAGAACGGCTCTACTCTATCGCTTCATGCGGCGGGCTTTGAGCGACGGAGCGCATCGTACCGCTAATATACTGCCTCCGGTCGTAAGGGCGCTGTTCCGCACTAAACCGTGTTCAAACGTTGTTGGCTCGTTTAGCTTAGTTGGCTCCGCGCCATGTTACATTTCTGTAGATCCAAATAGCATTCTTCCATCTATTAACATTCAATTGTGGCAACCAGGCCACTTATGGAGCATTTTTTTACCAGCCGAAAATGACTTAAGCGGTAGAAACCCAACAGCCGCCGCGTTGCTACAGAAGCCGAGGATCCTCCTGCCAGCCTTGAGATTTTCAGTTGCCGCTCCCTCGGATTCCACACTAACCTTTGCCTGAAAGGGCCGATTTTGCCACATTTAATCATTTCTCTGCAGCTAGGTAAATAGACTTACTCATCATTCATGACGATATAGTTACTTACCGTAACAGACTGATTGAAATTCAAAACTCTAACCAAAGTTTAATAAAAACGAAATTCCCCAACGTTTAAGGGGTATTTACACGATGAAGCAATCCCGGGGATTTCTCCCTCGTGTGAATGCCCCTTTAGGGATCACCTCGTTCCCTTGGTCACGGGTGACTCTGGGTAGGACGAAAAGGGAGGTAGCGTATGTAGGCCGACTGCGATTGCTGCGTCCGGGTTTTCCCGCGATCCGACGAAGCTCTGACGCACAGACGCTTCGGAAAGCGCCCGACGATCTGTTGATGCACCTTTTGTTGTCTGGATGTGCTATGATTCTAGGTGCAAGCGTTTATGCCGGTGTCGTTCCGCGCCCAGGATCTCGCTTTTGTCGAAGGACACGCTGTGACCCAGTTTCGCTGCGTGTTTTCATCGAGGGCGCTTGCTTGAACGTCGTTCTTCTTCACGTCGCATCTGTGGCGGCGGAAGCGCTCTGGGAAGTTCTTGGTTTCCCCCACGAAGGCGGCAGGGCAGTGAGCGCACAGGATGCGATAGATGAGGGCTTGGGAACCCTCCTTTTCCGGTCTGTCCCTGTGGAGAGGAATTTGGTGGCCGATGGTGGACACTGGTTTGTGAGTGACCGCAATCCTATGTTTTCGAAGAACGCGTCTGATGCTCTCGCTGACGTTCCTGATGCATGGCAGGCACAGACGGCCGGGACTGTGGAGATACGGGGACTCTATTCATTAACCCAGCTTGTAGGAGACTGGGTTAATGAATGTTTTGGTGTAGCCGTTGTTTTGAAGGTCGTCCTTGATCTTGTTGACCTCTTCCCGAAGAGACTCATCCGTCGAGCAAACAGACATGTCACATTTAAACGGCGCAGTGATCACCGACATCTTGTGGGTTGCGGGATGGTAAAGTCAAAGTTCAAGCACCTTCCGGTGTGCGTAGGCTTCTCGTACACCGAGAGGGTCAGCTTTTTCAAACTGATGCCCAAAAATGGAAGAGCATCAACTTTCTTGCCCTCCACCGTGAACTGAATAGCGGGTTAGACCAGATTTAAGTGTTGGCAAAGACGGTCAATTCAAGACTTCTTAACTATGCACAATCCGTCGTCTATACAACGAAGAAAGATCTTTGGCTTCGGCACGAATGAAGCAAGGGCTTGCTACTCAGTATGTTTCATGGTCAAGTTGGCCATAGTTACCGAAATAGATGCTCCCTATGGCGTGGCCACTTGTCTGCTTGAAGAGGAGCCCATCGAACGAGAAGTAGGGGTTTGTGAAGCACACATCCAATATTCGGCAGACCTCGTCAACGGACAAGCAGGTTCGGTCCGCCATACTCGTGTCGTTCATGAGCGCAGTCCTAGCCATGGACAACGCAAGCGGCACCGGAACACTCGTAAAAAGTGACACAACGTCGAACGAGACAAGAGCCTCGTCGGCGTGTACTTGAAGTCCCTTGACGAGGTCGATGAAATGAGTAGAGTTCATTACGTACGTGGGTGTGCTGCCGGAGAGCGTTTACATCAGCTTGTGCATACACGTCGACACTGCTTGAAGCGGGGATGTGGTGAAGTCAGCAATGTGGCGGAGGGGTGCACCGGACATGTGGATATTGGGAAGGCCATAAAGGGTTGGGGCAAACCGATTTTGGCATATGAGCCTGAAGTAAAATCAACGAGAGTCTGAGTGTTTCTTGAAGATGATGGTGTCTTATTGACGGTCTTTTAGTTATTTATTTATTTAATTGAAAATATCGGTCCTACAGAGGACCAAGATAGGAGTGGATTTGCACAACACAGAAACACGCTCTCAAAATGCAGAGATCAATAACACGTATACAACACAACGATGAATTGACAACTCTAGGTACTGCTGGCAGAAATCTTTGAAGCAAGAGAACTAAACTCTTTCGAGTTCCAGCGGTCACGATATGCGCTGGGAGCTCGTTCCATTATCGAGCTGTTTGCGAAAAGAACGAGTAGCTAAGACTGTCCTTGGAAAACTTCCGGTCTTTTACATACTGAGTATGCTTGTTGCGGGATATACACGACGTGCTCCCATTGATATACTGTTGATTATTTACAAGAACTAGGTGACTTATTATGTTATAAAAGAGATTAAGCCTCCTCTGCTTCCTCTGCATTAGAAGTAGGGGTAGACTCGCCCCATTATAAAGAGGTAACGCAGGGTCTATACCAGGGGTGGCCAAGCCGCGGCTTGCGAGCCGCATGTGGCTCTTCGTGTATAAAAGTGTGGCTCGCGACTCCCTCCCTTACAACCCCCCCCCCCCCCCCCTCCGCCGCCTCCCCTCCCGGTCACACGAGCACTTCCCCATAAAGAGAAATGGAATGCGTTTTAAATTGAAACACAGGTTGCGGTTTCGTAGCATTGTGCTACTGCTACCTTACATGCAGCTGCACTGCTTTTGACTCGGATAGATTCAAATAGTTCTTGTTTCGTGTATTGTTCAGGACAAAAATTTGTCCCCCCCCCCTTTCCCTCCCCCCTTTCCTTTCCGCGGCTCTTGAAAGTTTCGTGGTTTTGTTTGCGGCTCTTAGGCCGGGTCAGCTTGGCCACCCCTGGTCTATAGCAAGATAAAACAAAACGTAACCCAAGCCGTTTTACTTGCTCCAGATTTGAACTCAGATACTTAACATGCCGGTCCCAGACCTCACTTGCGTATTTTAGTAGAGGCCCTTTTATCATCCTGGATGTTTTGAATGTTGTTTCTGAGAAAGGTTTCTGTGAGTTTTGTTTCTGAGGTTTGTTTCTGCAAAGATGTTCTGGATATTTGCAGTCGGGTCTTTTCGCACGGGCGTATAAACAAGGTGTAAAGGAGTTTCGAATTTCCATCAGTTTATTATTTTCCTAACCAGACAGATTTCTGTCAAGGATGCTTACTTACCATATTGTAAACATGCAAATCATGGTTTGCGGCCACTAAATGTGGAAACTTACTTTTGAAATATCATTGTAGTGACTCCTTTTTTATATGCAACCTAAACCAGCTCGCCCGCATACCTTCGCTTCTTGCAAACGTTTTTTCATTACTTTTTTATACGTGCCTTTTGGTCGATTTGCAAAATTGTATAACGCCAAATCTTGAAAATTTTTTTAAGGACTAACATAACGGTGATAATGACTGCTTACACGCCTGATCAAAGTCCGATAAGAAATATGATAGAGACACTTGATGCGGCGACGTATGGACGTAAGTATATAGATGCTTCTTAGCACAGTCAAATAATATATAAAACACAGTTTACTAATTCCTTTGTCAATAAGTTATTTATTTATTTGAAGTGCTCTCTGGGAGGTAAAAAATAGAACTAGAAATCCTAATTTCAAATTGCTAATAATGCTATCAGCAAGCCGCAGAAATGGCGATTCTCAAAGTGATATATTTGTCTCAGCGCTCATGACGCTTATCACGTGCATTGTATCGGCATCATTTCCTAATGTTATATATTATAAATATGCTTTAACCACTCGTGAACTTGACTGTTGTGAGCGGGAAAATATAAAGTTTAAACTGCACGCAAAAAAAAAAGAAAGAATGAAACAAATGCCCTACAATTTATTCGCTAAGGCTGTGAATATCAGGCCTTACAATCTGCTTTCTTACTGACTTATTTAAACAATTACTGCTATATATCAGGATGGCACAAGGAAGGTAAAGTCCAAATGTTTCGTGTCCTTGTAGCTTTTAAAGCATCGAGACCAATCCCAATATATATTATTAAATAGTGATGAGACGCGAGTGCAGCTAGTGTACAAACAGAAACTTGTTTAAAAGGGCATTTACTTAAGATAATTAAACGCATAATGAAACATTGACAAATTTTAACCATTTTGAACTTTTTTACGAAGCACAACATTTATCTGTTTATTGTACCTCTTCGGGTGTTTTAAAGCATGCACACGTTTTAGGGCCCGTTCACACACTTGCAACCGAGTACGACCGAAAGAGACAAGACCTGTTGAAACCTCTTAAAATGTATTAGGACGAGAGAACACACTGGCACGCTGGCGCCATCTATGCGGTGACCCTGGAACTGCATTTCACAAAAGCGAAGCTTTTGCGGATTTCCGAGGTCAAATGCGCGTAATACCTATGAGAAAGGCTCGTTTATAACGTAGAGAAAAGTTTTTCGAGCCAAGAAAGAAAGGATAATGCGAGAGAAATAAAAAAATATGCGGGACCGACAAGTTTACATTGCTAGCCAATAGATGGTGCCAGTGTGTCCTTTCGTCGTAAGAGATATTAAGAGGTTTCAAGGCACTCGGTCTTCAGAATAAGTCGCAACTGTCTGAACGGGCCTTTAGAGTAAATTTAGAGGTAAGCGGAAAAACTCTACTTCGTGTACTACTCTTCCAATTTTCAGTCGTCTACAATCAAAAGCTAGTGTTTTCTGACTATAGAAGTTGCCGTGTTCTCACTTACGAAGATCAAGGGGATATAAGTAAGTTAAACAAAACTTCCATGTGTTACTTACTGTCTTTGCGAATTTTATAAATGTGATTTGCCTTATCATTCGTAAATATGAAACTAGAAGAGCATTAAAGCATTCTTTATAAACAAATTTCATTTTACGTTTAGTGCCCTATCAATTACTGCCGCTTAATTTTAAGATTTAACCAAAACAAATCTCAAACCTCTTGATGCATTTAAAGGGACACTGAGAGGATATTTATGCTCGCCAACGTTTTTATTTGTACATGACACATGAGAGCCCAACTACCCAGAACACAATTTGCCGCTCGAAATTTGTTTTCTTTCGGCCCGAAAGCCGCCGATCGAGAACTGGCAAGTTTGAGTCGTGCTCATTCTCTTCTCCGTGGTCACGTGCTATTTTCTATGGTTTAGACACAGCCACCAAATGTAATCAAATTGGTGGATCATCGAAGGCGCCCACTTAATAATACAAATAGAAAAGAAATATGACACCCATTTCTTGTGGCTTCTTAAAAGCCGCAAATACGTTGATTGAAGAAAGGTTGCACAGTAATGTGACTTCCGCCAACGCTCTCCTCCTCTATATTTTTTATCCCTCCACAGTGCAGTTTCGTTTTTGGTTCCGGTTTCAGGCTGTTGCGTTTTTGTTTTTTTTTTACTTTATTAAAACTATACGTGACGCTGTAGCAAAATATTGATTGTGTAGTCTTCGGAAACCATAATAGATCGATCGCCTGGCAAAAAACAAAACAAAAATTTCGGGGGTTGTCAGTGTTCCTTTAAAATGTTTGTGTCGCAGTACAACACTCTCCACAATAGCAGATTATAATGTTGTTAACGCGCGTGTCTTAATTCCCAGCCGATGTTTAACGGGCACTGACGGTGGCATGTATTGGGTACAACACAAGCACCTCTTTCAGAACGCTTAAGCTCAAAGCATTGCAGAGGTTCTATTTAAAGGCACGGGCCAGCAAAGTTTAGATGTCGGTGCGATATCTTGGGCAGACCACAGCAAGAGCTACCCGAAAAATGTAACACTTTTATTTGAGATGAAATAATATTATGAATTGCATTTGGCGGCAAACACAAGAACAAAAATGTAAAATACTCATTTCGACTAGCCACACTTTCGCACGAACATATTGCAACCAGTTTACCTATTTATTTATCGAAACTAAAGGTACCGACGGCCGTCCTTATGGGCCAAGGCATGAGACAACGACTTCTGGGATCGATTTCTCTTTAAAAAATATATATATATATATATATATATATATATATATATATATATATATATTTGATTTTACCTATTAAATAAAAATTCATTCATGTTTGTAATAAATGGTTATATTCCGTATTCCGTAAAAAGTAATGGACAGGTTTTTTCTTAGTTTTACAGATATGGTATATGTTTACACATGTTCCTACATACTCGTAAACGCTGAGCTGAGGAAAATTAAAACAAAACAAAAAAGACGAAGACAGCTAGACTTTAAACTCTGCTGAAATTTATTAATTTGAGCACACCAATAAATAGACTTCAAGACACAGGAAAAGGAGGGACGGAAGGAACCCAAGTGCATAAACAGGGAGCTTGCCGCATTCTACCAGACAGACTAAGCCACTCCCCAGAGTCAACATCCGGAAAAGAAGCCGACTTCGATCTCCGAACAACCACACGCTCCTCAAGGTCACGGCACACAGGGAGCACTCGAGAGCTCCAAAGCCTAAAGTGCGATTCACACACTTGCGTTACGTACGACGCAGTGCAAGGGTTGCTATGGCAGCAGCTGCGCAGGCTCCAACGCAGCTGTTGTCGTAGCAACCCTCGCACCAGGTCGGACTCAACGCAAGTGCGTGAATCGCCCTTAAAGGCTGGTTCACACGCTTCCATGAGTCCAACGGAATGCGACTGCAACGTTAATCCTTTCACGAATCGCTACGGCAAAAGGGTTTTAAGACGCTTACACCCGTCATTGCTGCTGCGCGGCGCGGTCTTGAGAGACTTAAAAACCGGTTGCAGTTGCACTCGGTCTGGCTCGACTAAAGTGTGTGAATTGTCCTTAGAGGGCTATTCACAGCTGATCCGGACCACAAATCAAAATTTCATCAACGAATCTCGGAACCAATAAGTTATCAGCCCACAAAGAAACCAACAAATTCTGTCATTTTTCTATCTTGAGTGTTGAGATGAAACTCCGACAATACTGGAGCCACCGCCGAACCAATACATTACGTCGGTGTTTTTTGTTTTTCATAATAGAGTTTACAAGTATGTCGTTTCCAAATCAGCTCTTCTGCACCCTCTCACTTCTTACATATACCTTTCAGATTGTGAATTGTGGATGATTAATTCTGCAGCAAGAGGAAGTATCCCACAAAATTGTAGCCTTGCCTACGACCGGTACTGCAAGACAAAGCACTATATCTTCGATACCGACTGTCTACCAAAATAATTCTCGTTCCACACACATTCACTTCAGAGTGAAATTCGTTGTGCGACGAATAAAGTTATAATTTCATGGATGTTGGTCTTATTTGTGTAAACTATGTTTGATATGAATAGCAGCATTTTGATCGGGAATAATCGAGGTTTTATATTTATATTTAAATAGCGATGCGAATATATTCAATATAGTTTTAAGATTTATCATCCAAAGAAACTGCCCAGAAGGAGCCATGAGCGCCATATCAGCATACTGTAAAAATATTTGTGCTAATGGTACTGTTCTGACACAAAAAGCGATAAAATAAGGGAGATCTGCTGAAAAGAATAGGGGTAAATTTTATTTTTTGCTACATGCACTCCTAACAATTTGAGACGTAAAGGAGTAGGAAGAACCATCACAGCCGGTCTACATTTTGCATGATTAAGTTACTCGGTGACTGTGAGTAGCTGGTCCCTGGCATTTATGTGTGCGAAGTGTCCACGATACTTCAGGAAAAAGGTGTTGTGGGCAAGTTAGTTTACCGTGTACGATTAAAAGATTGGAAAGAAACAGAAGAACGAAGAGAAATCAAAACAGGAAAAACCGCAACAGCACACTCACAAACAAGTTTTTTAGAAAAGAAAGGTTCCAAACATCCACACGACGATAGCTGTAAAAGTTACTTATGAAATGTAATTAAGTTACACTTATAGTTACTTGAGCAGATCTATTTGAGATACACCTACAACTACACAGTTCAAATTATAACTCGTTAAAGTTACAGTTACTAAATATGTAGCTATAAGTTACATAGCACTTACTTCAATCGAAACGCACAGCGGTACGAAGTTGTTCGACAATGATCCTCGGAGTACTTTCATGGGTCCGGAAAGCTTACATTTGAGCTCCACATTGCGAAAACTCGAAGAACTCCTGATAAGCGAACCATGGAAGTGTGCAGCAGGAGGCTCCGAGAGCACTCTACCTTGGTAACTCAATGATGACACCGACGACATGGTCGCATCCGAGCTCGATCCGCACGCAAGACAGCAGACACAACTCACGCCTATAGGCGTGAGTCGGCCCTCGATGTACGTTTACGGCGAAGGCCAAGCGGCAAAATTAAACTCAGAAACGTGGTAATTGGCAAAGAGCCACTTGAAACAAATAAAAAATTTGTTTCGAGTCCCCTCCCCTTCTTTCCCCGCTCCCCTTTCTATTCGGTACCAGCTGATTAAGGCCTCATACCTGTTATTTGTGGCGGCTACTTTGTGAACTGTGGTCACGCTTGCTAAAGTTGGAATTTTATCCAGGTTATACATACTGGAGTATCAAAACAGTGCGAAGAACGAGAGACCGGATGAGGAGACAGAGACACAGCGCCTAGTCACAACAAATATTTATCGATCGTGACAGCGCCATAGTCAATGACAAACAAAAAGAGGATCTGCCTAAAATCACATCTCTAAAAATGCGCCATAGAGAGCCGGGTAGAGCATGCATGTAAAACAAGCACACCAGGAAACAACAAAATCAATCTCTTTGCTTGACAGGGAAAGTGAAATTTGGAACAGACCTTGATGTGGCCTCCATGACAGGCCTGGGTAGAGTTTGGCCCTGGAGATCCAGGTCGGCGCTACCAGAAGGTTCCGAAGGATGGCGTGTCAGCTGGAGGCGCTGGAGGCAGAGGAGGCACATTCGCACCTCCACCAAACTGGCGTGTGTGTGTCTGTGTGCGTAGTGGGGGGGGGGGGGGGTGCTATCGGAGCCCTAGTTATAAATACGAGGCGTGATTACAAAAATAATTGTGATTACTAGGCTAAGCGTGTTCCGTTTACCGCGAAGAGAAAGGTGTTTGAGTGCGCGTTAACTTAATTTATTTTTACGGACTGCTCCGCTGCTTTTTTTACGAAAGAAAGCCAAAATAAGACTACATAGTAGAGATGCTGCGAACCTCCCAGAGTTCGAGTTACTAAGTCAGATTTGAAAAAAAGTCGAAAATTTCCATGTTTCTGAGAGTTCAAAATGAAAGAGTTCAGACTCGTTAACAAATCAAGTTTTAAAAATCGGAGATTTCAAATTTTTTTCCGGTACGAGTGCCAAAAATTTAAACTTTCCAATTTAGGTACCAATTCTTGGAAGGTCAGGGACGGAGATTGAACTTCGCAGTTTCAAATAAAGTTTTCACGGGTTCATATAAAAACTATCGCGAAATGTGCTACAAATTTTACTGAAAACCTTGCACACTTCTTTTATGCCGTAAGTACTTTTCTTCTTACTCAGTACCGTGGTAATGACGGTACAACCCGCACTGCTGTTGTCTATTGTAATTTATAAAACAAGTGTTGAACTGGTTGAGCGCTTCGTCGAAAAGCTCTGAGATTGTTTGCTAAATGTACTTAATACCTTTTTAAAATTAGTAGCAATCTGTTAGAATGTCGCTTAAATACGATGCTCGCATGAGAAAACCAAATATACGAGAAAAAACATGCACATAAAAGTATTCAGATTTCCCGAAAATTTTTATTTCCTCTTAAAGTTTATTTTTTTTTTTTTTTTTTTTTTTTTTTTTTTTGCGGTGGAGTAGGGTGGAGGAAATGCAAGAAACAGGCACAGCATCCGGCACAGCTCTAGGTTGAGGAGAACGCTACCAGAATAAATTAAGGGGCTCCCCAACCCCCGAAAATACAGCTGATCAGATCAGGGGTCGTCATTAGGCTCAACATAATGCCGGTGTCTGGAACATTTCCTCTTTAATGAATAAAGATAGTCACCGCTCTAGAAGGCATCCGGTTCCTAGTTATAATGGAGTAAGCGCCGATCCAGCGTTCGTTTTAGCGCGTCTGTGTCGCGCTCTGCAAGCGCCTTTCCCAGACCAGTTGCTTCCTCGAGAAAACTGGGGGACTGGCGTTCATAGACAACTACCGGGTGTACCAAGTCATGGTAACGCTCTTTAAATCGGCCGCAAAAATTCGGTTTCTTAACCTATCGCGCTCCGGTTTCGTGCAGCGTTGCCCACAGATGCTGCATTTTTTTTTTTGTCCAATTTGCAAGAAACGAACTTACCTGAGGAAAAAGTAAAAAAAAGGAAAAGGCTTAACTCCTATGCACACACAGCGAAGCCACCGGTGTTCAAACAATACTGCGCCGTTTCGCACGGGAGACAAGAGATGGCACAAGCGGTCGCGACGCCAAGCGCCACCAAAGAACGGGCATACGGCGCCAAGAGCCGGCGTCATTAGCAGACGATCTCCTACCTCAAGATGTGCCTCACAGCGGAATTATTATGCTAAAGGCATTGTCCGGGGAAATTTTATTTTGTGACCTGTATGTCCGGTACAGGAACCGGATCCAGAAATATTTCGGAGAGTTCAGTGCCCCTTTAAAGACAGTGTCTTCCTTACACCTTAGAGGTAACAGAACATTTTTTTTGTTGAAAACAACACCGTTGGTATTTGTGTGTTCTTGGAGAGCCTTTTTTACTCGGATAAAGGTCATATGAAATAATGACCTCCGGGCCCTTCAATGGGTTTTTAAAGATTTAGATCATTGATTACTTAAGCATTATTCCCAGCACAAGAATAACATAATCAATCAAAGTTTTACAAAATATCGCTACGGGTACGTGACTCGTTTAGAATATGCTCACAAAACGTAAAAATTAAGAAACGCTATTTTCACTGCAAGAGCCTTAAAAAAAAATCCAAGTCAGACAACAGCAGTGTAAGGTATTTGAAAGCAACGCGTGACGCTTGTCACTTAATGTTACATTAATTATCTATGCCTATCTCGATAACGATGTCAGAGTGTTTCATGTTCTGAAAAGAAATAAAAATTAGACAATTCTGTAAGAACTGCTATGGTTAAATTGCGTTTTTTTATTGCGGCGCTTTTGGGGCGTACATTACCGCAATCCGTATTAATATTAATAATAATATATATATATTTTCATCAGTAGCTTTTGAAACTCTAATATAATTTGTTGCGTATGCACCAATTTTAAACGCGGGACCAACTATGGCAATCCAAAGTTGGGAAATTATCATCGCTGGTGCCAATTTCAGCATTCTTAATTAACAAGTTATAAACTAAAAACAGCCTAACATTCTTGCTAGTTTGAGAAATTCACGTAAAATGACATTAATTATGGGTAAAGCATATGGTTATATCAAAGTTGCGACTTTTGCCAATCAGAAAAGCTTCCTCCGAAATGCCACCACCAATCCTTCCAAAAACAAATGCCCCAAAATACAAAAAAAAAAAAAAAAAAAATCGTTGCTGTTGTTTTATAGCAAAACTACCCAGGCCCTTTCTTTCTGTAACCTTTACGCGGCTCCGTTTTGCCAATATCAGCCTTTACAGTTCGAAGGAGCACCCACCAGCTTGCACGTCAGCTCCCTGCAGTACGTTTCGTTGGCATTGGAAAACGGGTGAAACAGTAGCACGTTTTAGTATTGCGTATACGAGCGAACACAAGCGCTTTTTTGTTTGCGTTAGCGAAGTGCGTTCCACATTTCGCGTGAGCGGAGCCTAAAATTACGGTCTCGGATTGGCGCATGGCAACGACGCGCCTGTGCAGCGTGGAGTACGCAACTCTAACGCTAACGCACAGCACTTGCGTGTCCTTCTATACGCAATACTAAAACTCTCCAGTAAGGTAAAGTCACATGCCGGCTGCAGCACTGCGTCGGGTCGGTGAAAAGTCTTGTTTGCGTTTCGATACGGCTGTTTGCGAGCCATGATATCGAGCAGTTCCGCCGTGTTCGCTGCGCAGGAGAGCCGGGGGACCCTCACCAGAGCGTTTCCCGTTTTCGGCGCGGGAGGGCAAGCGACGAGCTGGAGGCCATAGAAAAAATCGTAAGGGTGCAGGCGAGCTGGTGAATATTAATAATGTTGAATTTAACCTGAGACTGGGTTAGAGAAGAAATATCAAAACGTAGAAAGGGCAGAAAATAGACAGGACGAACGTCTCTCTTTGAGACTTCGTCCTGTCTATTTTCTGTCCCTTCTATGTTTTGATGTTTCTT